TTTCGAGTCCCACGTGTTTTTTATAATGTTAATAGCTTTGAAAAATTCCCCAAAAATTATTATAATATCTTTGTACCTTCGACTAAAAATCAATGTAAAGAACATTTGAAAATCATTTATTTAAATATTTTTTTATAACAATTATATGTTGACAAACACACGTTACGACTCGTTTTACTTAAAAAATCATAACTCACGAACAAATTGACGAAGCTTAATGAACCAAAACGCAAATTAAAGCTAAAAGTAGTGCAAATGAGAAAAAAAATATGAGATAATTATTAATTAAATAGGAATACTTAATTTCGTCGCCGCAAATATGGTAATTTTTAAATGGTACAGAAGGACTTTAAGGACTTAAAGAATGCTAGAAAAAGAATTTCTGTATAAGAAAAGGCGAATTTGAAGTGTGACAGATATTTTTTATGTAAAAAAATTAATTTTTTTAATATAATCGTAGCTCTTCCCCACCTCTTCCACCTGCCTCTGAGCCATAATAGACCTCTGTGGAATGTTAAATTTTTTTTTAACGACAAAAATATTTTAAATACGATTAAATTATACACAAAAATACATTTTTATCGAAAAAAATGCTCATTTACCTTTCACACAACACTGACGTAATCCTCCAACCATGCACTTTCGTGTCCCACCGAGATTTTGATTGTTCCCCGTTTCGAGAGTAAATGAGCTAAGACTTTGAAATTTTTACCTGAGGTTCCCTGCCACAATAACTTTTTTTCGGCGTAGAGGAGATTCTCCCACGATCATTTGTTTTCCGGAACAAACGACTGTTAGAAATTCGTGGGACACGAAAGGCATGGTTGGAGCGAATAGGGATATTAATTAATCTTTAATTAAAATTAGACTTTTACGGAATGCTGTACGTTATAGTGATTGATTTTTTCGCGGGCGTCATTATTAGCTAATTAATGCTGGTTATTAATATTTGATTGTCTACACTGGCGTCGCGCCATTTTACCGCGCGTAAAGAGCCTATAGGAGAGAGTAGCACTAACGAGCCACTCTCTGATTGACTGGAGTAAACGTCACGTGACCAATGAGCGCCTCTCTAGCTCTCTCCTAGAAGCTCGCTCTAACCGCGCGGGAAACGTTGTTGTTCTCGCGCTCGCGTCTCGTTAAGTCGTGCAGTCCCATCGTCCTGTGTCCTGTGTGTGTGCAGCAATCGACTAAAGAGTTTCGGTCGCGCGCCCGTGGATCCGCGTTTCCATCGCGTTTTATCTCGACCGGCGTCGGTTGTCATACGTATATGCGACGCATCCGTGCCGGGTGGTGGCGATCGCGAGCGGGTTATCCGGGCCAGATCTGGCCGTGCGTGTTTTGCCGTGTTTCGGCCGGGGCGTTAATGGTCGTGGATCCGCGGATCCGCGTTTCCACTGCGTGTGGAGGTTTTCGTGGTTTTCGTCGGGAGTGTTGGCGAGCGGATTCGGGCCGGTTCTGGCCGGAACTAGAGCAATTATATTTTTGGATGACTGTATAATTGCGAGCTGGATTTTTTTTGTTCATCTGGACTCATCCGTTACATCGACAAAAGATCAATCAAAATGGATAAAACAGATAAACCGGTAAGTACAGTAGTACACATTATTTTCAGATCTAGAATATTCTCGAGCAAGCCATACGTTTTCGCCTTGCTGTCGGCGGCCTTGGCGCTCGGTCACGGGCCGGCCGTGTGTACACGTTGTTTTTTTACATAGACTCGCGCTCAGTAATAACGCGCTATACACTACTTCTCGCTGTTGCTGGGTCGACTTTCGCCACGATTCAAAACATATTATTCAGATCGTTGGAATTTTTGAGAAAACATTTGCTATCGATCGAGACTATTGTTGTTGGCACTGGTTCCCGGTATAAATTATCTCCGCACTCTGGCGTTCCTTTAAGTTGGTCATTAGACATTATAATTATAATCGAGTCAAAAGAAGTTGTCGTATTTAATGCTTGTGCCGTGGATTATTGCTCGTGTCGTGTATATCGCTCGTGTCGTATACGCCGCTCGTGCCGTAACACCGCGTGCAACACACCCTGATATCTAATTGTAACGCCATAGATATTGGAGTTGCAAGTCTTTATTATTTATTATATAGATTATATATTTCTTTACTTGATAAAATGTAACGTCGGATAACCTTTACGTATCTGTTGTTTCTGTATCAATCTCCTTTTATTTCAGTGTTACTATTTGAAATCTCTTCCTTTGGGAAATGATGAAGCTCGAGCAGTATCTAAACTTATGTCAAACCTCATGAGCACGGTCTTACATACAGGTCTGGAAACTCAGACCGATTTCGGTGGTGGGGGATGGTCGTTTTAGCAAGGAAGAATTTATTTCACGGCGTTGTTACTATGCATCGCTGTCATCGCGAAGTGTAGATGGTAACCCATGGTAACGTGACAACAATTTTTTAATTGCGCTTAATTCAAGTGCATTTTTGAAAATGACATATAATGCACATCCTCAGTCGCTGAATTTGTAAACATGAAAAGTCGCGGTGGTTTGAAGCATGCAAACCACCATTTTTTTCATCTTATTCGATATGTTGAATCGTGTTTTGCAAAAAATGTCTCGCACTTGCATGTATTTAAATGGTTTTCTTAAAACGAATAAAAAGATTTCTAACGTTTTATTCTTAATGCAAAGTCATTTATTATTTCTTTGAGCTAAGTTGAAATACTTTCTTCGGCTCCTGAGGACATGGACAGCGACATGGATTGAAAATAACATCTTTCTCATGTAAATCTTTTTTTATATGACATTTTCTTTCTTTAAATAACTGTAACTAGTCACAGTAAAAAGGTCGATATCGACCTTGATTATGTGTACAACTACATTGATATTTTTTGGAATAAGAATGTATATAAATATTGAAACCTGTAAATTAACTATGGATTCTCGAAACGGGTAATTATTATTTACTTCATATTCCTTTACTCATAGCCTTCAACTTTCTAATTAATCTTATAAAACCAAGGCATACGTAAGGTAAGAATCAGAATTAATACAAGTCAACCGCTCTCATACCGAGAATCACGCGTCATCTTTAAATATTGTAAATTAAGAATAAATTATATATCAATTTATTAATTTGCGCATTCGTATAATTGGCCTTCCGTTTTTTTATGATCCGGTGTTCGTTAGAATTAAGTTTCTCGTTATGAGAAACAATTTATATTGATATTGTTTATTGATATCGTTTGTATTCGAAGAGAGATATTTCTTTTCCATAAAATAACATTATATCTTACAAAGTAAATTATTTCTTATTGTTTTATTATAATTAGATTCCAAATAAAGGATGAAAAAGAGCTTGGTCGAAATAACTAACTATTGTAAAACAAAAATCGTGTTGTCTATATTGTTCATTTAGCAATCTAAAACACACTAGGAAGGCACAGTATTATATATGCTTCACGCAGAATTTTTATTCCCTCAGTATCGCTCGGTCAGTATTTGTCCTTATAAAGATACGAATAAAAAGATTTCTAACGTTTTATTCTTAATACAAAGTTATTTATTATTCCTTTCCTCATTTGAAACTTCAATTATTGCCTATTTGACACTCACGATTTTGAATTTACTAATTACTATTTCCGTCCTTGTCCTACCACATAATACACTGACCGATGGCAGCGACTCTTACGGTCACAAAGCGAGTTATTTTCTTCGTCGCTAAGGCGACCATCCCCCACCACTAGAGTTTCCAGACCTGTATGTAAGACCGTGCTCATGAGTAACTCTCTTGCCCAAGAGTATAACTTCGATGGTCATGGAACTAAATTGACTTTCAAATCCACAAAATTATGGGAATTGGTACAATAAGGTATAATGTCTGAATGAGTAGTTGAGTTCCGTGAAATGTATGTGCGCATGTGCATATATGTATATATAAAATGCGCTTTTCAGAATCCAGTTCTTTTTTTTTAGCAAATGTTGATATTTTTTAATCCATACGTTTATTTTTTTAGGTACATTGTTGTTAAAATTTGAAGAAAGTGATCTGAGTGAAGCATTGAAGTCTCTCAGACCATGGCTGCGAAATGCCAAAGGAAGAATGAAACCTGCACATTAGTATTACAGGTTTATTGTGATGTAGAAATATCGACATGCTCTTTTTACGTCGGAACGAAGTGACACCACCAGAGGTGCAAGATAGTTCAAGCTTTAGATACACTGCAAGATAGACCAAATAATTTTGTAAGAGAACCCTGCGGGGTGTTTATCGCGAAAAGCCACTGTTGCGATGGCCGAGTCTCGTAGATCATCCTAGTAGGACAATCATAGAGTTACGCGTTTTTGTTTAGACGCGCTAGTAAATTTTATTTTATTTTATTTTTTTATTTTTACGATTCCGATAAAAATGTGGGAGCGAGGGTTCATAGAGAGAGAGTGGATTTGTGAATCTGGCGTTCAATTGCGGATGTCTTGTTATAAACATGTAAGTGCGAGTTCGTCAATTTCTGCCCAGACTTAACTATAGCGAACGAGAGAATTGCTAAATAATAAAATGATTATAATGACATTAGTATATATAATACATATACCATATATATATACTGATACGATACTGAAGCATCATCTTTTGTATCATTTGTTCGTTTGTTTTTATCTTACTGCGTTTGTCTTTCATTATTAATACAATACCAAGATGACTCGGTTTCGACTCGGTATCTTGTGTGTAAATATATATCCGCTCATAAAAAAACCGTGTAAGAATAACTAATAAAAAAATATGTATACAAATGCAACGAGGGCAAGTCTTATCGACGAATCTTCCTTGCACTCTCCTTTTTCAGGATTTCTACATTCTACAGTGTTAAGTACCAAATATCAGTGTGATTTAAATAGTTTATTTAACATACTCGTATTAAATACACCAACTTGTATGGGATACAACGCAATAAGCAGACCGGATGAGCAAAAAGGTCTGTCGATATTCAGAACCGTTGTTTAAAACAATCAATTATTTCGCTGCTAATTTCAATTAGTGAGAATAGATGCGAGTTCTGAATACAGACTACGAAGAACGCTAGGAGTGAATAAAGAATGAAAAAAAAGGATGAGTAAGTAACGAACCTCTTTGAAAAAAAGGACAGTTTTCGAGAGACAGAAGGCACGTAGGATGATCTAACATTTATATGTATGTACTCCTTGGTAACATTTTTCCCAGAAATTAAATATTTTGAAAAATATTGTGCCATACTTTAAATTCCTTATCTTGTATAAATGAGTACATATTATTATTTAGTAATAAGTAAATTAGTCCTTTCACTTTAGAGGTAGGTCTATTATACGTCTATAATACGTCTATTACGCAGAACGTCTATTAGACGTCTATTATATGCGTCTAAAAAAGGCCACTTAGACGTCTATCTAGATGCGTCTATCGATCTAAGTTAGATGCGTCTGATAGACGTTTGCTAGATGTCTATCCGATCTCGCGTTTCTCCCTGATTGCTTTTAAGAAAAAGTATGCAGATGCGTGTTGCAAATTACATATTTTTTCTTAAAGGAAATATGCCTTTTTTTATACCAATTGATTCGTCTCATTATTCTGTGCATAAAAGTGTTAAGGTAACATTACCGAAAACTTAATTTTTTTACAAGATATTTTGTATTTTATGTCAAAATATTAGAACTTTCAAGCCTTATAATTCCAAAAGTTCTTAATGAAAAAATACTTTATTATAGTGTTTTAAAAAGCTCGAATCTCGAGATTAGCTACAAGAATATGCATTGAAAAATAGGGATTTCCATTTAAGAAATTAAAGGTGAGTGAGCTTTAAACGATCATCCAAGGTGAAACCAATGGCACCATCTTATGTGCCCCTTCGATCCAAACAACTTTTGTATAAAACATTTCTTCCGAAAACGTCAACTTTCCGAGATAATCTAGGGTCCCGACCTTTTTGTTACACCCGGTATATATATATATATAT